AATAGTCAGGAGAACTTTGAGAGTATGTGTAAAACATTAACAAAGTGAGATTACACATTTGGTATTGCCACGGAGTAAACCTCCCACAGACTTGAAGCAATGCTCCCACAATTAGTAGTAAAGCTCCCACAGATTTGAATGCAGACTGCAGATTAGTAGGTGGTAAAGGACCAAATTTCAGTTTAAAAAAAGAATTCAAGAAGCATGTCACGGAAAATATATAATTACGTGACAGGTCAGCACAAGTAGTGCATATATGCTTGGATCTGTGTCTGTAAATGTGCAAGCTTTTCTAAAACTTTGGGAAGAGAGGGCTAAAACCTTTTGAGAAGTCAACGAGTTCTTGACTTTTAAAGTAGCAGTATGCTTTTCATCCTCTGTTGGGAAGATTACTGTCTCAGGTTTTATTTATACTCATATGACTAAGTTCAACATGCAGTGCCACTGATTACAAGTCTTTGGTACTCTGGAATTAAAAAATGAATTAAATACTGCCTAAGGCAGTAACTTCAGTTCCTACATATGCTACTCAGAGAATGAGAGCGAGCTACAAAATGGTCAGAGAACAGCCTCATCAGGCAGGATGCCTTCCAGTCTCCATCCCTTCACTGCTGCCACAGATAATTTCTGGCCACTTTGCCATCACACCATGCCTCTTGCAGAAAGAAAACTCCCCTCTGTTGCCATAGCAAAAGTCAGAATTCAGGGTGGCTTTTTCTGGACACTTCTGCCCCTACATGTCCAAGACAAATCTTGGGATAAACAGTTGTCTGCAATGGATGGATTAATTTGAAACTCCTTTCTCAACCCACCCCTAAATCACAGTACTCAGCTCACTGCCAATGGCAATAGAAGCACCAGTTCTGTCTTCCCACCACACAAACAAACAAGCACTCATACATGTCCTCTAATAGTCATCGTGCAGCCTCTGCACAAACTGTAGGCTCCCCTCTCACTGAAGGTCTCACTGGTTCGCCTTGTGTCCTCCATACACATCTCCTAAGCCTTTGCCTTTAAGGTGCTCTTGCACCACTGAGATGGTACTGGTCTGCCTCTGAAAGTACAGGGAGCAGGAAAAGGACTTGGGATTGCAGCACTCCAATTTGGGGAATGAAGAAAAAAAAGTGATAGAACTAAAGACATTTTTAACTATCATCACACTGTATATTCATAAATACAACAGAGGGGTTACTGATTCATTACTGCATGCAATATTTAATTACTAGTATGCTACCCGGAAAAAGTTTGGCCCGTGCCTGTGCCAACTAGTACTTTTCTAGGTGGTTCTTGGGTATTGGGCATTGGTCCCATTTGAAGCCAACATTTCTGTGGATGTTTTGGGAGATAGTGTGTGCCAAAATTATATTCAATGGGCAGCTGGGATGTAGACACCCTGTTTCAAACTAAAAGGCAGCCCCCACATGGGGGGCTGTATAGATGTAGCCATTGATGCAACAAAATGCAGATATCGTAAAGTGCAAAAAAATCACGTTCAGTTCTTGACTGCAGGCAAGCACTACCAAACCAGTATAAAGAGGCTCTTAGCTACGAGGGGCGGATGACCCAGACTGCAGGGATGGTTCCCTGCCCAGAGGTGCTCTTTGCTCTTGCAGCTGTGGTATTCTGAAGATGCTGAGCAAGTCTTCCAAAACTGAGACAGTGCAGATAGTCAGGAAATTTATCTTTGGACAGGGCATGCTGTAGCATCCAGCCAAAATGGCTGTAAAAGGGAGAACTGAGTATGACGTAATATGGAAGATGAGCCTCACTGCAGGAAAAACTGTTTGGAAATACCTGAAGTGATCATAATTACCATAATGAGGCACCTATTAAAAGGCTGTCACCAAGTATAGTTGTAGTATCAGTAGATTCAGAAAGTTACGCTAAATGATTTCATCATGGCCATGGCTGGTAGTAATTAAAAAATGCAATTTTCCTTGAGAAGGCAAGAAAGGCAGCAAAGACAAGGAAAATCCCCAAGAAAGACAACAGCCTATATGTGATCTTGTTTTTTACAGTACAATCACAGGTCCTTATATGTAAGTAAAAAAATCTCCTGCCTCAAGGTGTTACAATTTAAAGGAATTATTTAAAGACAGCAATGGGAAAAATAAAATTAGGGGAAGCTAAAACACATGCCCTTGGTGCATCAGCCCCATCATGTTACTTGAGAGAGCAACTTCTTCCAACAATAGGTCACCCAGCTTTTGCTTGTTCAGCTTTCTCATCCTTTTCTTGTTACTCAGGACAGGTCTGGCATCTCTTAGGGAACAGAGGTTATTAAATGAATATCCACCACCAGCTAGGAAGCAGTTCCAAGTGACAGCTCCTCCAAATCTTCTACTTGGCATCTCTCAACACCCTACAGCCCTTTTTCCCCTTCAGGGTTAGTAAATGGCTCTGACCGTATCCCAAAGCTTTGCGACAAATTTCCTCTCACTTTTGTGCAAAGACGAATCCTTCTGTCTACAAGACCAACTTGCCAACGCATGTCACTAGGATCTCTGTCACTTGATCATGAGTGTGCTCTCTGCATGAAATAAGTATTTTGGCTGAAATTTCTTGCCCTGGCTTTATTGCTGAGCTGGGGCATCCTGGGCAGAGATGAGGTTACTGGTATTGAAGTGGCAGGTGTGCTCTGGCGTGTGACTCACCTCGGTGGCACACGGGTGGTGTCTGGGTGTGTGGGCACGGCTTCAGCCAAACCCTGGTGTCCCTTGGGGCTGTCTGTAGAGGAGCTCGGAGGGAAGGTGCAATGCCTCACACCCAGCACGTTAAAAGTAGACACAAGCGGTAGATTTTGTTCCCAGACTCTTCCCATGAAAGGCTGAGGCTGAGGTGGCACATGGACAGATCTTACTTTTCGCAGAGCTCGGGGCATCCATCAGGGACAGTGTTATCACATTAGCAATTAAAAGCAAATGCACAAAACCCGTCCTGCCCAGTTATCCTGCTACTGTGGCAAGACCCAGTTTTCCACAGGGAATGACGGCACTTCCCTCTGCCTGGCTGGAAACCGAGCACGCGTCAGACTTCCAGGGCTGATCTCCCGGCCCCGGTCTCTCACCACAAGCAGGCCCAGCTTGTGATTTCGGCTGTTCTAGGCCAATCCTCCGTGTAAGAGAAGCTGTGGCTTGATTTTATGTTATTTTTTTGGTGACCTTTGGTGGAATCACCTGGTCTGTTGCGGGACTGAGCTTTTCCCTGGCAGAACTCGCAGTCACTGCCAGCCACTCCGGCCAGAGCCAAACTCGATCCCGGGCTGACGCACCGCGGCGAGCCCTCCCGGTGTGGTTTCGGGGAGCTCCCCCAGGGACGCTCGCAACATCCAGCCGGGCTGAGTCACTGGGGTGACAGCATCAATTTTCACAAGTATGGACAGAATCATGTAGCAGGGCTCCGTGACATCCACGTAATGATTTGCTGTCTCGAATGAAATTGGGTAATTACAGGTAATGGCACTGGCTATGGCATCGCTGCCACTGCTTTTTTTTACTACTGTCGAACAGGCACCTGTTAAATATTACCGACTTTTCAGTGGTGGTGATGAGCCTGCTGTCGGGTGAAGAAAAACACCCCGCAGACAAGGCTCCCCTCCGGAGGGCCGGCCCCATGGCGACGGACCGGGCCCGCTGCCCGCCGCCC